CTGTCAAGCATCTCAAAAGATGAATTTAGACAATGTTTTGAAAAATGGAATAAAAGACTAGACAAGTGTATTAGTGTAAGTGGAGAGTACTTTGAAGGGGATTGAAGGTTTGTGCTTAAAATTTGAATAAATAAGTTTAAAAAAAATAAGTTCGGTTTCTTTTGGGTACCCCCTCGTATGTGTACTTTTTTCTGATTATTCTAATATTATTTTTGATATGGCTACTTGGTGAAGGGTTTATAACCAAAATGTGTTATTTTATTACACTACGTTTCCTTTTATGCATTTATATTTCACAGAGTGAACATATTTAGCTGAGGTTATGTCCATCTACCCATCTGACTGCTTTAATGCACATATTTTGCACAGAGTAAATGGATATTTAGCTGAGGTTATGTCCATCTGCCCATCTGAATATTTTATCTGCAAAACTACAAAATGAATTTAGATGACATTTAGTATTACTAGTCTACCCTCAAAGTTGTCAGGTGAATTTGATATAATTCATATTGGTACAATACAACCTAGGCTTTCTGTGAAGCTGATATCCAGTTTTATTAATTTTATAAAGAATGGTTCATTCATATAAACGATATTGGTGCAACATACGAAGGGGGACCCAAAAATAACCGGAAACGACCTGTTGCGCGCGCATGCTTTGTAGTTACGAGTTGTGCTGCTAGGTGATGTTAGCTGGGGGTCTCCCGCGACTGTTAGTGAGCTGGCGTCAGACTGAGTTAAGTGGTTTGTCTGTGGTGCTCTGTTGTGTGCGTTCCTGTTTCAACCCTTTGGCGATTAGTGAGATGGCCGACCAGAAGGAACAAAGAGTGTGCGTGAAATTTTGCTTTCTGTTAGGGAAAACTGCANGTTCCTTCTGGTCGGCTATCTCACTAATCGCCAAAGGGTTGAAACAGGAACGCACACAACAGAGCACCACAGACAAACCACTTAACACGCCAGCTCACTGACAGTCGAGGGAGACCCCCAGCTAACACCACCTAGCAGCACAACTCGTAACTACAAAGCATGCGCGCGCAACAGGTCGTTTCCGGTTATTTTTGGGTCCCCCCTCGTAAAATACAGAGCTCATTAAGGTCTTCAACTTTCATTAGAAAGATTTTGTAATGTGAATATTTAATGTGCAGTATGAGTGGAACCTTAAGTGTGATAGCTTTGCAATGGTATGAATGTAAGGGGTGAGCCATAAAAACCGGCCCTCACACTGCGACCTTCAGTGATCTATTGTGCTTTTTGCAATGGTAGATTTGTATGTGCAATAAAGGAAGATTGAGACCAGTGAGCTATACAAAATAGTAAAGGATTGCATTCAGAAAATAATAATAAAAAAAAATGTTTTCAAAAATATATAGTGCTATATCTCGAAAATTCTGCAAAGACCGCCACATTTATACCAAGTGTTCATTGTGCATGCTCGTTAGGCGTCTGGGGAGCTTCTCAGAACATCTTATCAGCAGACACTGTGGCATCCCCCAGCTAACTGAAGGTCATTCATTCGGTGATCACCTGATCAGAGAGTCAGTTAGTATTAGGCCATCGAGTGTTATAGAAGCTTGTTTCTATTGTGATCTGTTTTATGTCTTTATGGTTCGTGTGAGATACAATTTAGAACAAGGAGTTTTCATTTTTGATTGCTGTGTGTGGGGGTGGGTGGAACTCATTCAAATTGTGCAGGAGAAAATTTCACCATAAATTTCTGGACACACCATGTCCATCTGGAGATACAGTTCCCAAATTGGTGAAGAAAGTTCAAACCAACGGAAATTTAACTGACA